GCATGCTCTAACCAGGGTGTCCTAATACAGCATTTACCGACTTTTCTTACATTAAAACTTTTTTTTTTTTTTTTTTTTTTTTTTTTTCTTCTTCTTCCTTTAGTCGTATATATTTGATTTATTTAATTCTTTTCAAGTTTTTTTTCTTCTTTAGTTATAATTTCTTGGAAATTCATTACATGAATAAATATTTTTGTTCGGGAAACGAAATTTTTCTTAAAGTTTTTAAAATATACCGCATATTATTGTGTTGTTGTTTCTGTTTTTGTATTATATATCTACATATATATTCGATAAAATTGTTTTTGACGGGTACAAAATTACAAGGAATTCAATTTGATTATTCAGTATATTTATTAAAATAAAAAAAAAAAATAAAACCCTTGTCCACGTTAAAAAATTTTTCATACCCCTGTATATCGTTTGGATTTTTCCCTATAGAGCGCAGCACTAATTTTTAAATTTTGTTGGGCGTTAAAACTGGTTTTACGTTTTCTTCTTTTTTTTTGCTAAAAAAAAAAAAAAAAAAAAAAAAAAAATTATTACTTTATTATTAATGAATTTAATATTAATATTCCCGTAATTAGGTAACGTTTAAAAAATTAATAATAATAATAATAAAGAATAGCATGCTACAAAATATTATTAATTTATTTTATCGTTTAACCGAATACTTGCCGGCGTTTAAATCACAACTACTAAATTCACGGCTTTATGTAACACCTGGTCAAACAGACTCTTGATGATAAGACGATATCAGGATGATGATGTTGATGTTTTTAAAAAAAAAAAAAGCTTAAAAAACATTTTAAATTAATTTTTTCGATAAATCCAATCATCGTAAAAAAATTTAAATTTCCCTCTAATAAAATAATAAATTTAAAAAAAAAAAAAAACATTCATGACAGAAATTTTTCTTACACTTTTTTTTTTTATTTTGAAATGAGTTTTCTAGACAAACACATACAATATAAATATATATTTACATTCCGACTAAATAAAAAAAGAATTTTTTAAATGTCTCGTAATTAAGTTTGGCATAAATCTAATTTTTACCTTTAAATATACAGAGGAGTCGAAGAAACGCGTTCGAGTTATTTATTCATTTAAAATAATTTAATAATTTTCGGCTAATATATATATGAAAATTAAGATTTTTTTTGTTAACTTTTAAATGTTTAAAAAAGTCATTTAAAAGAAGGAAAAGGAAAAAAAAAAAAAAAAAACAAAAAAAAAAAAAACGATATTCATGCGATTGGAACGTTTGAAAAAAAGCGAGTACCATTAAATTAATATTTTTTTGTTTTTTGTTTACTTTTTATAACTTGAAACATTAAAATATTTTATTTTAATGAAATTTTAAAATTATCGTATTGGAAATTATTATTATTATTATTATTATTTATTGACAGAAATTTTTTAGCACGTAGTTTTGATATTCCTTTAGTTAATTTGTATTTCTCTTCTATATGTATTTATTTTATTATTTTTCCTAAAACGAAATATAAAATCAATTTATTTATTTATTTATTTTTAATAATGAACAACGATTGATTGAAAAGTTTTTTTTTTTTTAGAAAATTTTTAAAATAAATTTTTCAGAATAAAATTTTATTACTATATTAAAAATAACACTGCTTTGGCATTAACACTTTTAAAAATTACAAACCTACAAATTTTTTCACATATTAATGTTTCATAAAATATATATATTTCGTCCTATTTTAATTTCGACTTTTTTAAAAATAAAATCAAAAACCATTTTTGTCATTACGTTTTCGGCGCAATGTAAAATTAAAACCGAATGCTAATGATTTTTCGCAGCTTCTTTTGCAGCCATTATAAGAGGAGTTAAACTTGCCAAAGGCCTTGCTAATTTTAAAAATTGGTGTTTTAATAGTTCACTAGCCGAAGATCGTTTATCCACATCTACTTCGAGGCACTCATCTAAAAAGTCTTGAAATATCTGAGACAGTTTTTCCTTTTCTTTTATTTCGGGTTTCCCATTCGTGGCTATTAAATACAAAGCCTGAAGAATGTGAAGAGAAGAAGAAGAAGAAAAAAAAAAACATGAGTGTGAACTATTATGAGAATAAATTCAAAAAAAAAATATATTAAAATTAAAATTATAACTATTACCCTAAGGGGATTTTCAGTCAAGTACGGAGGTTCTCCTTCGATCATTTCAATGGCCATGATTCCAAGAGACCAGATATCTACTTTTGGTCCGTATTG